CTAACATCTGTGCCCATCTTCCTCTACTTTACATGCAGGATGCCTACCACAGCACGGCATGCCAAGTGGTGCCATGTCCACAACCAGGATCCGAACCGCCAAACCCTAGGCCGCTGAGAAGCAGAACGTGCAAACTTAACCACTGCGCCACTGGGCCGGCCCCTCTAAGAGATTTTTTTATACAAACCTTATGGTAACTGCTAAACTAATAATCAGAACAGAGACACAAATGATAAATAAAGAGAAAACTATGAAATCCATCATACAGCACTACCCAATTGAATTGGTAGTCCAAAATACACAGGACAAGAAATGAGGGAATTGCACAAGAACTAGAAAATAAGCAATAAAATGGAAGCATTGAGCCTTCACATCAATAGCCACTCTAAACATAAACAGATTGACTTCTCCAATCAAAAGAAACAGAGTGGTGGGACAGATGAAAAAGTAAGACCCAACTACATGCTGCCTCCAGGAAACACATCTCGGCTTCTAAAGACAAACACAGGCTCAGAGTGAAGGGATGGAAGATGATACTCCAAGCTAATAGTAAACAAAGGAAAGCAGGTGTTGCCATACTGAAAACTTAAAGCAGTATTTCCCGAGGCACTTAGATACTCTCCAGGAGGGGGTAGGGGGTAGGGGTGTGTAGACGGAGGCACTCTGCCTGGATTGCTACCTGTTAGGACTCTAAAGATATTTTCTTACTGTATGTAAAGTATCTCAATAAATGGTAGTGCGTTGTGGCATTAGCAAGAATTCAGTAGTCCCTCCCCCCCCCCCCCCCCCCCGCCCCTTTATCCACAGGGAATACGTTCTAAGACCTCCAGCAGCTGCCTGAAACCACGCATGGTACCAAACCCTGTATACGCTATGTTTCTTCCTCTACATACATACCTATGACGAAGTTTAATTTATAAATTAGGTACAGTAAGAGATTAACAGCAATAACTAATAATAAAATGGAACAATTATAACAATATTCAGTAACAAAAGTTACCATAGATCCTAGCAACCTCTGCATACAATTGTTTTTCTTTTCTTATTAAGTTGAGAACTTTTACTTTTTCACTTAAAGGAAGCACTTTCCTGCTTCTCTTTGGCATATCCAGATTGCCAGCATCACTATGCTTGTGTTTTGGGGCCATTATTAAGTAAAATAAGGGTTACTTGAACACAAGCACTGCAAAACTATGACAGTTGATCTTATAACCCAGACAGCTACTAAGTGACTAGCAGGCGGGGAACGTAAACAGTGTGGATAAAATGGACAAAGGGATGATTCACGTCCTGGGCAGGACGAAGCGGGACTGTGTGAGATTTCATCACACTACTCAGAAAGGCAGGCAATTTAAAACTTATGAATTGTTTATTTCTGGAATTTTCCATTTAATATTTTTGGACCATGGTTGACCATGGGTAACTGGAACCTCAGAAAGTGAAACCATGGATAAGGGGGACTACCGTACTTCCATAGATTCTATGGTTTGTTAAGATTGGATCCAATCCTTGTAGTGCCTACATATCAAGACAAATTCTTTTACAATCAGTGTCAAAAGAAAAATGTCTCAACACTAGGATCTTGGGAAGATAGATCTTTAAGATAGAAGATCTTAAAAGATAGAAACATCAAGAAGTGGGACTTACAGAGGGGGAGGCAAAAGGGGCAAAGGGGCACATTTGTACTGTGACAGATGCTAACTACACTCTTGGTGGGGAACACGATGCAGTCTATACAGAAGGCAAAATATAATGATGTACACCTGAAATTTATACAATGTTATAAATCAATGTTACCTCAATAAAACGTAAAAAAATAAGTGGTTCTTCCAAAAGGCAAGCCTCAATTAAGTAGGGTTTTGAGGGCCAGAACCTCCAACAATTGTTTCCATTATTTCAGATTAAAATCTCTGAGCAGAGGCCTGGAGGCTAATCATTCCTGAATGATCTGCTGATTTAGAAAATCATGCTCTTCATACTCCCCACTACCTTACTCCTTTCTCTTTAGACACATCTTTCTTAGTGCATCCTTTTCTTCCGTCAGCAGTTGAAGTAGTGCCCATCCAAGGTAATGAAAAACATGGGATGCCAGTTTAGAATAATTCACGGCCCCTGTAAATGACCTACATTGCCTTTAACGTCACACTTTGAGTTTCACTGGAAATCTAGCCAAGATTTGCACCTTTGCTGCCAATCCAACATTATCGAATTCGTATATAAAATCATTTCAAATGAGCAAAATCTTCATTATTACAAGAACTGGAAAGAATATAAAATTTAATGTCTACTCTCAAAGTTTGAGATTATGGCTATGAGTGCTTCAATATTCATCTGTAGAAAGAAATAATGAGAGTCTCGATGACTTCTAACATGCCTTTCAATTTTAATACTCTATCACTCTATTATTTCTACACAGTTGAATCATTGGGAAATTAACATAGCACAAGGAAATAAGGCAATTTGTGATCCGGGCTTTACTAAAGCTACTCTTCGTGGCTAAAGGAATTTCTTAGAATACTGAGCTAAAAATGTAACTGCATTCTGCAACCGATGCAAACATGTTCTAATTGATGAGAGGGGAAAAAAAATTCAATCCAGAGTGCCAGCAAGTCCTCTGTGAGCTAGCATGGCAGGGAGAGTGTAGGGTCAGTGAAGCATCAAGTTACAAACCAAATTAAAGGTCTGGAGAAGAGTGGCAGGGTCTAATCATCCACTGACTGAGGCTGCCAGAATTGGATATACCACCCTTACCGGCTCACAAAGGACTGCTCGATGAAGGCTAAGTACACAGACGAAGGGCTTCAAACATCTTTTATTAAAAAGGCCCTCATTCCAAACAGGTCTTTATAGATATATTTCCTTGAAGTTTTTAGTTCTGTCATACTAAAATTTCCATGAAAAAATAATCAAAACCTAATGCTTACAGTGTTCCGCCACAAAGAAAAATATTGTGGGTTTTTGTTCCTATTAAAAACATGTGTTACATCTATATACATAATTATGTAAGTCCCAGACCCAGTGTACACATATAGACACAAAAACCTTAGGAAAATAATAATAGTTTTGCCTGAGCCAATGACATTCATAACATAATATTGTACTCTGTCCTTAACGCCCCTCATTAAGGCAATGCTTTGAAAAGGTCAGCTAGCAATGAATATTTCTGCATATTTTGTGGCATAGGCTGCAAACACTGCATCTATAAGGGATGCATTAAGGTCACTTTTAAAATTCAAACACAGTATTTTCTGGACTTGGTTGGCTGAATTGTGTGCATCTGCGCTATTTTCCGAGGGGAAAGTTAATTTTAGAAAGGAGAAAAAGTTTGCCACGAAAACAATCACATTGGCTCAACACCTAGACAGTGACTCTTTTCTTAAAAGTTCAAAATGTTTTACAGTCTCCTACTTCTCCCTAATATCCTTGAAAGCAGGTACCAAATATCCTCCCTGTTTCATAAGGAGCATCTATCTCATTTCACAAACAGTTGTATGATTTAATACCATACCTACTTTATAGCACTTTAAAAAATTAGTCCTTGACCTCAATTTCCCAAAAGACAGAGAAATAAAAATCTTTATTTCCCCTGGTAGTTACATGCTAAGTTAGGTACTTAGAACGGTTCAGGTACATAGATAGATACATACTAAAAGCAGAAGATGTACATCTATGGCAAAGTGCAAAATGGAGAAACAGTATTTGTGTAAATTCAAATATACTATAATTTACAGACACTCTTAACCAAGTCAGGGTGGAAGAGCTTGGTTCAAATAATTAGGAATGTAAACAGTATCTAAGTTAATTTATATGATAATTTCTCCTTCTGGTTCCAAAGACCACTGGGGTCTTCAGCCTTAAAATAATCAACATGTAAAAATGCCAGTGGTCATTAACAGAAAGTCAGTCAATGCAAACATAGTGAAGAAAAATTTTCTGATTCCCACGAGAAAAGGCCTCAGTCTTTTCTAATCGCCAGAGCACTTGTGAAGTAAAAATTGACGTTTAAAAGCTACCTCTTTAACAAGGACTCAGAAGTACGATGTTTCTCTCCACCGTATGTCTGAGTTTTCAATGAACCTTAAGTCTCCCTTCCTAAAACTGCCCTCTTAGAACCAACGATACCACAAGAAATTCATCGACTTGAAGGGAACTAGATTTCACTCCGTTTTTATTCTCTAGTCACACTATTTCCAGGTGATGCATACCAACAGTTAGGTACCCCCTCTCTCTCCTACGCAGACCTTACAGATACTTTCACGGGATTATGACAAGAGAGTGCATCGCAATCACCTGGAGTGCCTTTTAAATACACTGAAGCCTACACATACATACACATACACACAAACTCCGGATTTCTGAATCAGGATCTCAGTGCCCGAGTAGGAGCTATTGCTTTAGGCTGTGATAAAGTTCTAGCCCCGTAGCCACCCAGAAAACCTTGTAAACTTACCACAGTAGTTAATTTTCACAAAAGATAAACCCCAAAGAACCTCAACCTATTGTTTCGTGCAGCTACAAAAGACAAGACGGCACACCTACCTTGACGAAGCGTTAGTATCTACCCCGCCCCTCCCCCCTGCAAAGTTAGGACAGTAATATGTTTAGAAAGGAGATTTGCGATCTTTCCGCCCGGAGATTATGAGACTCGGGGAAAACGGTGCGTCGGTGTTTGCGCCACACACCTGGAGAGGGGGGAAGACATCCTGCCTCCTCCCCCGCGCTCCCTCCCAACCCACCCCAGCGCCCAGAGCTCGAGGAAAAAGTGAGGGGTGAGGGTGGAGAGGACACGGGGGTCCCGCGGGCCGCAGAGTAGAAGCGAGGATGGCGGAGATCGGAGTCCCTGCGGGCCGCCCGTCCGGGGCTCAGCGCGGCGCCGAGGGGAGCAGAGGAGGGGGCGAGGGAGGAAGAAGGAGGTGACAGCCCGGGGAGGCCGAACCGGCAGCTGGGACGGCCGGCCCGGGCGGTGCTCAGGCGGGGGCGGCACGGCGCGCCCCTCTTACCTTGCGCGCGAGGTCGCAGTAAGGAGCAGGGAGACCGGGGAGGGGCAGGGCGAGGGCGTGCGCCCGCTGCGGGTCCGCTGTCAGCTTCGCCAGGCAGCCGCTCCAGGTATCAGAGGCATTCGGGTCTCCTAGCTACCAGCCCCTCCGCGCGTCTCGGGCCCCCTCCTCCGGCCCTCGCCCCTGTTGCCTGCCTGCTCATCCCCCTCCGGCGGCCCTGCGCCGCGCTCCCCTTCTCCCCCTGCTGTTTATTCCAGAGAGCGGTGGCCCCTCTCCCGAGCTTTCCCTCCACGAGCGCGTGCACGCACACACCTCCCCCAGGAACGCACTCTCTTTAGGAAGGAGGCAGCGATTGTGGTCCTTGAAATTCTGGGGCAGGGCGATTTCAGAAAAACCCTTTTAAAATCTTTCATCTGCCCTGTGAGGTTCAAGGTAGGCACGACTTCCATTCATCCCGTCTCCGTCCTCGTTTGTCTTAACCACATCACTTAACACTTGATATTCATCTACATTGTGTTCTGAGAATCGCCTGCCAGTCATTTTAATTTTTCCAAAACAACAACTTCCATTTTATTGTTTAAAAAACCCAGACGTCCCCACTATTTAAACTTAGGTTGCCAGGATGTTAGATTGGCTTCAGGAAGCATATGTTCAGCTGTACAAGACAAGGCAAGTTTCTTGCCAGCATTGTCGATACCTGCCACCTGTCAGGGCCCGGAGTCAGAACAAGGGAAGTTAATTGCACCTGGCTTTGGTTACTGAGCATGCCCAGAGCCTGGAACCTCCGTTCTCACTTAGGAGAGTCGCAGTTCTGAAGCCAAAGTTCTGGGAAGGAGCAGGTGGATGTATTCAGAGACTTCTAATGGCGAAGGAACTAGCAATGGGCAGACTATACTGAATAATATAAAAGACAAGAACGATGCGAAGGGATCCTTGAAAACATCACTGTATCACTAGCATGCGCGAGCTACCTGTCACCTAATCCCTACTGGGAATGTGGAAGGTGACTTGTTAAACGGCACTCCATTTATTCATTCATTACCTATCAATATAAAATAGATTTATGGAGTAGGTTAGAAGCACTGCAGTATTATTCATAATCAGTCATGCTGTAATTTAAAGGATGCTAGGAATTAACTTGAGAAGCAACTAGTTTATTACAGAGTCCTGATAAATGCATACCTATTAAAGAGACTCCATATTGGGGCCGGCCCTGTGGCCGAGTGGTTAAGTTCGCTGCGCTCCACTACAGGCGGCCCAGCGTTTCTTCGGTTCGAATCCTGGGCTCCACATAGCACCACTCATCGAGCCAGGCTGAGGTGGCGTCCCACATGCCACAACTAGAAGGACCCACAACTAAGAATATATGACTATGTACGGGGGGTGGGGGGGGGGTTTGGGGAGAAAAAGGAAAAAAAAAAAGAGACTCCATATTAATCCATTATCTTTTCTAAATTTATCAGATAACTTTCTAATCTGAGGGCTGGAAAAAAATGGATGCTTACTAGAATTATCAGGTTTTTCCATTGGGTAGGAGGTGGGTATCTGAAGATAAACACATCATATAAATTACTGCAACTGAAAGGACCAGCTTAGGTGATATAGGAAGGGGGTAGGAGGTGGTCACCACAAAGACTCTTTGCCTTCTTATTCGTTCTACCAATATTTTATTGAATGCCTGCTAGTCTGAGACACTGCTAGTGGTATGGATGGGAGAGTTAACAAGAAAGGCAACATCTCTACCCTCACCCAGCTGAACAGGGGCATAGACAAGTAAACAGGCTGTTAAAAGTAGACGCTCTGATGGAGGATGGCACACGTGGAGGGCAGTACACATGAAGCACAGAGGAACTGACGTTGAGGCTAAGACCTGGAGGCGAGTGTAACTTGGTCAGGGACGGGAGAGTAGGAGGAGAAAGAGTTTTCCAGTAGGCGGGATAACATGGAGAAGGCCAAAGGTAAGAAAGAACATGGCAACTCAAAGAATTTAAAGAAGCTCATTATGGCTTATTGTGGAGGATTTTTTTCTTGGGGGTGGGAGTGGGAATGGCTGGCAGGAAGAATGGAGAGACAAGGCTAGAGAGGTAAGCAGAGGCCAGATCATGTAGAGTCTTGTAGGCTATGTTTTCAAAATTGCACTTTATTCCCCAAGGGGAAGGCACTGAAATGTTACAGGCAAGGTAAGGATGAGATCAGATTTTTACCCGAGAAAGACTACTGCACAGGCAGAGGACAAATGAGGAGGAGAGAGAGTCAGGGAGAAGAGCTCTAGAAGCAGCATGTGATCAATGATACCAGTGTATAGATCCTCATGCCTTTGCGGAACCTAAGTTGAATCCCATGACAAGTCCCTGGAGAGACAAACTTTTCCTGAAGTGCGGTGGGGAGGGAGGAGAGTCGGTGGTGGTAAACAACTGAGAAACAATTGAGGTAAATAGAAATTAGAGATAAAGAGAAAAATGGTTTGTTTGGGTTTTGTTTTGTTTTGTTTTGTTTTTTACAAAATACACAGTAACTCTCTCTCATACAGTTCAAAGATAAAAAGAATGTTGATTTGTAACTGAGTGGTGAAATAAAGGAAAATTTGACACACAGAAGTCACCTTGATATATATTCCAAATTTCCCTCTATGTAAGAGCAAACTAGCATGCTCTTAACCCAGCTCCCCTCTCCTTTTGAGAGTTATTATATTCCTATTATCTTTCACTCTGACCATCCAATTGTTCTATGACCTCCCTCAGTTTGAACCCATCTGTCTGAAATCAAAGTTCATGCTGCTTCCTCTAGGCCATGCTCTCTAGATTGGATACAATCATAAATCTCTGTTCTTCCCTTATCCTAATTCACATCTCATCTTCATTCTCTCACTTCCAAATTCCCAGGGACTAACTGGCCTTACTTGGGTCAGATGCCCAGTCAAGGAGGACAGGATGTCAGGGTCATGACATAAAAACATGCCTACATAAGTTCTTCATGTAACTATACAGATGGTGGCTAGCTAGGATCGAGGATAAGGATGGAAGGGTCCTTGAGGAGCTCGGGAGGAGGACGCTTCTTCAGAAAAAGGCAGACAACTTAAGAGATGTTTACTACAAAGGTAGATATGTAAATAAGTAATGATAATATAATTTCATAAATACTATAATAAAGATATGAACAACGTACTAAGGGAACACAGTGTAGGAGGGAAAGGAAGGAGTCTCAACTCGAGAGACATAAGGAATGCTTTATGGAGAAGGCAATGTTTTGAGTCTTAAAAGGTTAATATATGTTAGCTAGACAAACACACCAGCTAGTCTGTAGGATTTGTAAGCTTATTCCTTGTTTGGTGGACTAATTTTTCAGTAAGGAAGGGAAAGGACAAGGCTTCAGGGAGAGACCAGTAAGGAGACTGCTACAACAGTTAAGGAGAGAGGTGATTTGGCCTGAAAGAAAAGGAGATGTGTATGAGAGACATTCAGAGGTTCTGAATCCAGAGGACTTGATATGGGGAGTTGTGAAGAGGGAGAGGCCAAAGATCACTTCAAATACTCAAGCTTGAGCAACAAGGTGGACAACAAAGCAATTAACCGACTCAGTAAAAAGAGGAGAGATTTGCCAAAGAGGAGAATGGATTTAGCTTTTAATGTGTTAAATTTCAGATATTGATGGGATATTGAGTAAGAAATCTGATACGCAATTGCTAAGCGTATGATGCTCAAAGAGAAAGTAAATTGCTAAATATATTGACTTGGATTTTATTCATCTAGAGGTCATCGATACCATGGGTGTGGATGAGATCACCTAGGAAATCATGTGTAAGGAAAGAACCAAGGGCCTAGGTGGATCCCTGAAGAACACCAACATTTGGGAGGCCAACAGATGCAGGACAGCCAATAAACGAGGAGAACCAGGAGAAAGCAATGCCATGCAAGTCAAGAGAAAAAGTTTTTGAAAGACGTGGATGCTAAACAGTATCCAATGCTGCATAGAAACTAAGTAATATTACAGGAGTTTTCAAAAGAAGCCTTTCAATTGCCTTTTTGGAGATCATTGTTGATCTTTATGAGAGCGGTTTTAGTGGAGTGCTAAGAAAGGAAAATACATTGCTTTAGATTAGAGTTTCTCAATCGTTGCACTACTGATGTGTTGAACCAGATAATTCTTTGTTGTCGGGGCTGTCCTGTGCATTATAGGACGTTTAAGCAGCATCCTGGGCCTCTACCCACTAGATGCCAGTAGTACCTCTCCCCAGTTGTGAAAACCAAAAGTGCCTCCAGACATTGTCAAATGTCCCCTGAGAACATAATACTCTCTCCCCTACTTAAGAACCACTGCATTATATTGAGATGTAGATGGCAGACAAACAGAACAAATGTATTTTTCAAAAAAATATTACTAGGAGGTGGCATCACATTTTAAAAATCTTTTTCTTATCCTAATTTGCAAACATCTATTAACTCTAAATTTAATTCTTTAAACCCAGGCTGCCTATGGGACAGATACCCACCCAACACTTTTCTACTTCCCTTAAATGAAGAATAAGTGATAAAAAGAAATATTTTATTTATAAAAGTCTAGATTCAAATTAAGATTTATGGGGATATTTTAGAGTTAGACATATCTATTTTCTACGATAACACTCCATTTTGACAATCTTGTGACATTGTTGAGGATTCTAGCCAACCTATATTGGAAAACACTTTATTGCCTCTGATGTTATGATTCCACCAATAACGATGGTATTAAATATAATCTAAGCACTGAATGTTAGACTATAAGCTGAAAAGTCCCCTTCGACAGAGAGGATCTCTTTATTTTACAGTGAACATGAAAAATAATGTCAAAGCTCTACACTTCTCTATTTCTTTGGTCTCATTCCATGGAACAGTTGATACGGATATATTAATGAAATGTGTTACAAATAACACTTGCTAAAATTAAAGCAAAATTAGATTCTTGAGCCAAAATTTTGTAACCATTTATCCTTTGTTCTCCTACTTACATAAGTCTCACACCATCTCCCTCACCTTCTTCTACCACTTACCTTGAATAGTCTTCCCTGGCCATTGTCAGAGTTAGAATATCCAGTTTATCAACCAACTGGATACGGCTGTATTCATATATTTTCAAACCTAATCTCAAATTACTAAACCATACTTCGGCTAACTCTTTCTACC